CGCGCGCGGAAGCCGCGAGTCTGATAAACAGACGGTGCATCGAATCGGGGCGTGTCCGTGATGCGCGCAGCCCGCAATGATGCACACCGCCGGGGGAGGTGTTCGGCAGGAACAGCCCCGTTGCCCTTCTCGTCTCGCTACGCTGCCTTCTGCGGACGCGCATGCACTTTTGGGACTCCTGTCGCCGGGTGCCCACCTGGTCCACTTCGGGGTCCCCTGTCGCCGGGTGCCCACCTGGTCCACTTCGGGGTCTCCTGTCGTCGGGTGCCCACCTGGTCCACTTCGGGGTCTCCCTGTCGCCGGGTGCCCACCTGGTCCACTTCGGTCCCCGTTCGCCGGGTGCCCACCTGGTCCACTCGGGTCTCCTGTCGGTCGGGGTGCCCACCTGGTCCACTTCGGGGGTCTCCTGTCGTCGGGTGCCCACCTGGTCCACTTCGGGGTCTCCTGTCGTCGGGTGCCCACCTGGTCCACTTCGGGGTCCCCTGTCGCCGGGTGCCCACCTGGTCCACTTCGGGGTCCCCCGTCGCCGGTGCCCACCTGGTCCCACCTTCGGGGGTCTCCTGTCGTCGGGTGCCCCTGGTCCACTTCGGGGTCCCCGTCGTCGGGGTGCCCACCTGGTCCACTTCGGGGTCCCCTGTCGTCGGGTGCCCACCTGGTCCACTTCGGGGTCTCCTGTCGTCGGGTGCCCACCTGGTCCACTTCGGGGTCTCCTGTCGTCGGGTGCCCACCTGGTCCACTTCGGGGTCCCCTCGTCGCCGGTGCCCCCTGGTCCACTTCGTGGGGTCCTCTGTCGGTCGTGGTGCCCACCTGGTCCACTTCGGGGTCTCCTGTCGCCGGGTGCCCACCTGGTCCACTTCGGGGTCCCCCGTCGCCGGGTGCCCACCTGGTCCACTTCGGGGTCTCCTGTCGTCGGGTGCCCACCTGGTCCACTTCGGGGTCCCCTGTCGCCGGGTGCCCACCTGGTCCACTTCGGGGTCCCCTGTCGCCGGGTGCCCACCTGGTCCACTTCGGGGTCCCCCGTCGCCGGGTGCCCACCTGGTCCACTTCGGGGTCCCCCGTCGCCGCCAGCCCGCTTCCCAATCCGTCTTATCCCGCGTGGAGTAATGGTGTGCGTTATAACGCACAAGACGGGGCCGGTAGTCCGAAAAATCGTCTCATCCGCGTATCTCTATCTGGTCTCAACGACCC